GTTATTTCAGTTGTATCATTAAAAAATCAGTAGTGATGTTTAGGAGGAAGGACATTAAAGAGGTATTACAGCTCTGGTGTTTCAGTCGTATCATTAAATAATCAGTAATGATGTTGATGTGAGGACATTGTAGAGGTATTACAGCTCAGTTGTTTCAGTCGTATCAGAATATATTCAGTATTGAGGTTAAGGTAGAAGGACATTGTGGAGGTATTACAGCTCTGTTGTTTCAGTCGAATCATTAAATAATCAGTATTGATGTTAAGGAGGAAGGACATTGTAGAGGTATTACAGCTCTGTTGTTTCAGTCGTATCATTAAATAATCAATATTGATGTTAAGGAGGAAGGACATTGTAGAAGGATTACAGCTCTGTTAGTTCAGTCGTATTATTAAATAATCAGTATTGATGTTAAGGAGGAAGGACATTGTAGAGATATTACAGCTCTGTTAGTTCAGTCGTATCATTAAATAATCAGTATTGAGGTTAGGAGGAAGGACATTGTAGAGGTATTACAGCTCTGTTATTTCAGTCGTATCATTAATTAGTCAGTATTGATGTTAAGGAGAAAGGACATTGTAGAGGTATTACAGCACCGTTATTTCAGTCGTATCATTAAATAATTAGTATTGATGTTAAGTTGGAAGGACATTGTAGAGATATGACAGCTCTTATATTTTAGTCGTATCATTAAATAATCAGTATTGATGTTAAAGTGGAAGGACATTGTCGAGGTATTACAGCTCTGTTGTTTCAGTCAGACCATTAAAAAATCAGTATTGGTGGTAAGAAAGAAGGACATTGTAGAGGTATTACAGCTCTGTTGTTTCAGTCGTACCATTAAATAAGCAGTATTGAAGTTAAGAAGGAAGGACATTGTAGAGGTATTACAGCTCTGTTCTTTAAGTCGTATAAATATATAACCAGTATTGATGAAAAGGAGGAAGGACATTGTAGAAGTAGTACAGCTCTGTTGTTTTAGTCGTACCATTAAATAATCAGTATTGATGTTAAGAAGGAAGGACATTGTAGAGGTATTACAGCTCTGTTGTTTAAGTCGTATAAATATATAACCAGTATTGATGTTAAAGAGGAAGTATATTGGAGAGGTATTACAGCTCTGTTGTTTCAGTCGTATCATTGAATAATCAGTATTGATGTTAAGAAGGAAGGACATTGAAGAGGTATTAGAGCTTTGCTATTTCAGTCGTATCAATATATAATCAGTATTGATGCTGACAAAAGGACATTGAGAGGTATTACAGCTTAATTGTTTCAGTCGTATCAGTGAATAATCAGTATTGATGTTAAGAAGGAAGGGCATTGTAGATTTATTATAGCTCTGTTAGTTTAGTCGTATCATTAAATAATAAGTGTTGATGTTAAGAAGGAAGGACATTGTAGAGGTATTACATATCTGTTGTTTCAGTCGTATCATTAAATAAGCAGTATTGATGGTTAGAAGGAAGGACATTGTAGAGGTATTACAGCTCTGTTGTTTCAGTCGGATCATTAAATAATCAGTATTGATGTTAAGGAGGAAGGACATTGTAGAGAAATTACAGCTCTGTTGTTTCAGTCGTATCATTAAATAATCAGTATTCATGTTAAGGAGGAAGGACATTGTAAAGAAATTACAGCTCTGTTGATTCAGTCGTATCATTAAATAATCAGTATTGATGTTAAGAAGGAAGGACATTGTAAAGGTATTACAGCTCTGTTTTTTAGTCGTATCATTAAATACACAGTATTGATGTTAAGGAGAAAAGACATTGCAGAGGTATTACAGCTCTGATGTTTCAGTCGTACCATTAAATAATCAGTATTGATGGTAAGGAGGAAGGACATTGTAGAGGTATTACTGTTCGCCAAGAGGTTACATCTTCTGTATAATCCTCTTCTAAATATAACTGTATACAAGATTACAAGATTATTTACGCCCCCCCCCCCCACCCAAAAAAAAAAAAAAAAAATTAACGAGACGGGGTTTACTATTTGAAACAGCAGATGACAGTGAATATAGATTAACAAAATTACAATTTAAAATCATTATAGTACGTACTTTGACTAGATCTTTGTGGGTTGCCACACACAAAATTTTCGGATACTCTTCATTTTCAGCAAAAGTCTTGCAATATGTGAGAACGGAATTGACCCAATGGATAAGATATACTACAAAAAACATACATACATTTATATATATTGAAAGTACGAATTGACATCCAGGTATAACAAAATTATAGGTATAGACATACTATAACTTCTAAAATCTTATCATTTAAATTAATGATACCTTGTAAATTATAATCAGCCTTGTTTAGATTGAAAAAAAAAGTCTGTATAGCTGTTTTCAAAATACGGGTCCTTGTCAAATTACACTTCTTTTTTGCGTTTGTGTAGTAGCCTATACAAATAAATTTCTTGAACTGAAAGGACACTTTATTCCTTTTATACCATAGGAGTTGCCTCATGCCATTTGTCTAGTCAGAATACAGGACACACCATTTTAATCCCTTGACCAAACTCACAGTTTAAATGTGGGAGATTTATTGTCATTAATGTGTGAATTCATTGTACATACGTAGCTAAGTTGGTTTTTGATGAATTGCTTTGTGTACAATAAATATGCGTGGTACAGGAAAAATAAATAAACTGGTTTTTCAAGACAAAGTCATAATACATTGGTTGAATGGTCACAAGCATGACAAGGTTTTAACAACTTATGACAGATGATTTAAAAACTTATTTTGAGGCAATGCTTTATTTTCAACAGCTCCATAAGGTCATACGATCCAGTTTTGATCCCACTCAGCTGTGAATTTTTGACGAAATGGGGTCGAAATTTAAGAGACCCTTCTTTTGTTAAGTGAAGTTGAAAAACAGCGATAGAGAGTTTGGGATTTGCAATCAACTATTCATTATTTCAATCGACTATAACAATGAAATAATTATAATAACCAAAATACTGAACTCCGAGGTAAACCCAATCAATCAGCTATCACATTCCTCTACAGGTATTATCAGTAGAAAATAGTGGGTTAAGTTGTAGTTAAAATTGATGTGTTTTCCTCACTTTTAGTTTGTAACCCGGATTTGTTTTCTTTTAATCGATTTATGACTTTTGAACACCGGTAGAAAATAGTTGGTTAACTCTGTGTGTATATGGAGCTAACTATGTATGACAGGATGATGGGTATAATACCGTTATATTGACCAAACTGTTTGAGTCAAACAGACTTCATTGGTTAATGTGGCAATACTACGGTTCTAGCAGATAGATATGAATACATCATAGATATGCATCTTAAAATATGTTATCTATATATAAATGGATAATATATTCTTTGTATGTAAATGGGCAACATACTTTTTGTATGTGAAGGGACAATATTTTGTTTGTACATAAGATAGACAATATATTTCATTTATAAATATCTATGTACCTGCTGTATTCCGTTGGCTCTGACATCCGGGGAGTTCTGTATAATCTGGTATGTCTTCATGTATATCTTTGCTGCCATTGAAGATCAGCAAAAATGTACCCCTACTTGTGATGAATAGTTGGTGCGTCATGTGGTAGATTTTCTGACCACCAAAATCCCACAAATCTATAGGTACAATTACCATTTCGTAATGCCCCTTATGGCATTGAGAACGGACAAGCTTGAGAATGTCCTCTTCTGACATATCTATGGCAGTCATTTTTTCGTCTCTCTTAGTGTCCTCCATCTTTGCACGTGTGTCATCTGGAGTTACGATATGTGAGGGTGTTTTACCTATAAAGAAACATTTTACTTTTTGCAAGAAGTTATAACTTAAAAATCATGTACAGTTCAGCAAAAATCGTATGTATGTTTGTTCAGATACGCGGTTGTGTCACGTGATCACACGTCTTACACGTCTGTCATTGAACGACTTTGAACACGCATGTGTCATTAGAAATACATATATACTCTAAAAGTCCATGTGTCATTGGCAATACATAGATACTCTAAACGTCCATGCGTCATTGGCAATTCCACGTGACATTGGTAATTCCACGTGTCATTAACAATACATGTATACTCTGAAGTTATAGTATAACATTTGCTATGGTCTCAAATGAAACATGTTTGTAATTTGAATACTTTCAATGATAACAACACTTTACTTCCATGGCGCTTGTAATATTCATCTGCTATATTTTATAGAAATTAGTATAATCCAACAGAATTGGAAACGGCAGTTATCATGGCCAAAATCCTGTCTTCCTGTTTATTCTAGATCGACTGAGTTTCCAAATATAAAGTCAAACACTAAATTTGGTACAAATTTAATTTTTAACGGAGTTGAGTGAATACTTCAAGCAATCTGCCTAATTTGTAGATCTTACTTTGTTATTTATCTTTGAAATATACAGTTGTTCTTTATTTTCAGTAGTTGAAGTCAAAACAGTAAGTACTTAAAAAAAATCGTCATTGAAGTCTAAGAAACACGAACAACGCCAAAAACCAGCGGGTGACTCAACTTAGCCGTAGACAGTTGATTTTAATGATACGTCTGTCCTTTCACATACATTTGAATAAAATGTAAATACTCAACGTCTTTTTAAAAATGCAATAGCATTTTAAAACGTTGACTCTCCTGCTTTTACAACTAAAATTTCGCATTCTAAACCAAAAGACAGATCAAAACATATATGCCAACCTTTTATATCCAACACAAATTTTATCGTATGCAGTCAGTACAATACATACATCACGGATTTCCAAAAATACCCTAATTAGACATGCAACAAAACTATGAAATGACATGTAAGCAATTGTTTGTAAAGTTTATAGTACCTTCCTGTTGTACGTGTTTCTCTTTAAATCTTCTTTATTTACAATATAATTTATTCGACTCATTGTTTTTAGATTGTCCCCTTGTTCATATCTGCCCAATTTTTATGATTAAACAAACACAACTGTAAACCATTGTTTCCATAGATTTGATACATGTCTCTTTCAGAACAAATACGATCAATTCACTTGCATATTCACACATAATGATAACACAGCTGTACCTTTAAATGCTTTCTGTATTCGATTTGGGATATCGAGGAAAGTTTTGAGCTTTGACTTCTTTTTGACAGCATGTGGAATATTGTCCTGAGATTTAAGTGCACCTGGGTCTGACATGTTCCTGCTATGTTTTACTGCACCTGCATCCGAAATAGAGGTTACAGGATCTTGAGTCTTCGTCTCCTCGCTATGTTTTACTGCACCCGTATTTTCTATGTCATCAATTGATTTATAAGCATCTGATGGAGCTGTCACTTCTTTACTCCTAAGTAAGCTTTGAACTGTTGCGTTCAATATGGATCCTAATAATGAATAATCTGTTTTATCAAAAACAATGTTTTTTTTTCAGACAATATGTAATCGCATAAACAAGTGAAGCGCAACTTTACTTCTGGGTATATATACACTATGTAAGTACTCTTACGACGTGACTGAAGCGAGGGGAGGGTGTTAGTGCGTGAAACTTGCTTCCCCTACCATGGTTTGTGCCTTAACATGGTCGAGCTCTCTAGAAAATGTGGTGTTGTGAAGTGGTATTTATCTTTGTTTTTTTTTATTCCGGAAGTTGAGTGATGATAGTTAGTGTGTTTTGGTATTTTCCAATATGATGTTTATTACTGCAATCTTGTCTATGTATTAAAGAAAGCAATACACAACTTGGACTGCCGTTTTTTCAACTATTGCCACAAGCATAATACACTGAATATAAACTACCATCATTCCGTATCAATCGGTTAAAAAGGATTCTCACCTTAGTACTTCAAATTAGAAATGTGTATCTTAATGAAATAGAATATATCTTTGTCTATATTCAGATTTTTTTTTTTTTTCATTTTAGGGATCAATAACATGTAAATATGTTTACTTTCTGGGAGTCATTTCCACATCTGCATTGATTTTATTCGGCGTTTTTAATTTTGAATATTGTGCCATTTTAAAAGTATAGGATGGTGACTTAGATAACAGACTCAAATGACATGTATTCTATTATGAATAAAGTGCAAGATTTTATTAAAATCAGATTCATGTGATCATCTTCGAATCATTTGTTTCAGTCAAAGTGGGGAATTAGCTATATTTATATTAGAATTTTTACTCTTACACAAATTTAAAAACGTAGTCGATGTTTTATTCAAATTGTAATTCGAGTTGCCCATTTACCTCGGCATGATGCGAACTTTGACCTTGTTTTTTTTCTAATTCTTACTCAAACTTCGTTCTGCTTTGAATCCTATTCAAACTGTAACTGATCATTAGCTCAAACTAAACACGTTGTTACAAATGTATTTCTGAATCGAACTTTGACCTGAAGTTTAAATCCTATTCTTTCTGGGACATTCATCAATCTCTAGCTCGAACTCCACATATTACTTAAAGTGTCATTTGAGTAAGTCAATTACTATTGTTTATTTGCTTAAATTATAAATACCATGCTTTAGGAAAATCCAACAACGTTCTTTTATGTCCATTCCAGCTCTTCCCAGGTAAATCCATATACCATCCGTAGATTTCCGCTCCTCTGGAGCCTCGTCTCCAACCAACATTTTGGCTAAACTCGTTTTACCCACGCCAAATGGACCAGTCAAAAAAATTCTATTCCAAAAGCATCTGTACGCCCCGCTTTTTACCAGACCTTTAAATTCCTTATCAGAAAAGATCTGTACTTCTTCATTAGGGCCTGTTAAAATTAAAACCGAAACTAATATAAATTACAAAATTAAGATATCAATTATGAACTATAAATCTGCAAAACAAATACCAGCAAGTATGAACAAGAAGCTGTAAGCGATTTCTTGTAATGGATATCTATTGCAATATTAGACATTTAACACAATTCTGAGTGTGTATCAACCAAATTAAAAGTATCGTTGGACAAGACAGAGTTGAATATACCTTCCCATGAACACAGTGCAGATCTCACATGACGCTTATCTTATAAACTTATCCTACGTAAATTATGTGTTCAGTTGCCTTAGTTTAATTTGCCTGTTATTTTTTGGTTCCTTACAGTCATTAATATCTTATCTAACGCATACAACTTATGAAGTTACTTTCAGTCAAAAACATTGGTTCATATAGCTCTTAATTAAAGGCAATAGTAGTATTCGTGACTCGGTACAAGATATATTTATCAAAAACGGTGGGTTGATATAAATAAGAAGATGTTGTATAAGTGCCAATGAGACAGTCTCCATCCAAGTCCCAATGTATAAAAAGTAAGAAGTTATAGGTCAAGGTATGGCCTTCAACACGGAGCCTTGGCTTACACCGAACAGCAAGTAATAAAGGGCCCCATAATGACTAGTGTAAAGCATTTAAAAAAGTAAAACCAACGGTCTGATCTACATTAAAAACGAGAAACGAGAAACACTTACGAACCACACCAACAAACGACAACTACTGAACAAATGGCTCCTAAACCTGGTTTTACGGCTAGTCAAACCTCCCGCGTATATGACAATGTTAAAAATTCCTTTTTCTTTAAACTATAATTTCTTTACGTGCTAAGATAATTATCTATATTCGGCTTTCTCAAATTTAGTTCTGAGCGTTCCTGACAAAGAGAAATCCAGAGAACATAACATTTAAAAAAGTTGTATTTTCATTCCTAAATACAAACTTTAGGCTTTGAGTGTACCTGAGGGAAGTTAAATTCAGATAAATGCTTCGGATGCATGAATGTATTGAACGTGTTATTTTCATTTTTTTTTTACAATGTTTGATCAAAAAGTCCAATGATAGGTCTGAAGAAAAAAATCATGGTACTTGTACACAGTGAATGCCTAAATAGAACTTCTCTATACCCTTGTCATGTTGTAGTGTATAGCGTGTGTGAAATCTTGACCATTGAACAACAAGTGACAGAAAACATATCTTTAAATTATAACAGTGTACATCTCAACATCAAAACATATCAGACCAAAACCCAAATCATCACTTCACAAAGAAATTGTGAAAACGTAGAATAAATCCATCCGCATGAAAATTAAAGCATAATCAAACAAGAAGTTCTGAATATCGCTTACATAGTAATATTAAAAATCAAAAGTTCACAACACAGACAAAAATATTTAGCGGAAAGGTATGTAACACAATATTTTCCATGCTCCACATATAATAACAAAAATGAAAGCATTTCCAAATACGAATTGACTACCAGACATAAATGAACATCCCGTATACGTTCAGCATAACATTCAAGTGTACCAAACCAGTTATTAAATCTTTAACAGTGAGTTACAGTTTCATAGATAGATATAAGAAGATGAGGTATGAGTGCCAATGAGACAACTCTCCATCCAATTCATAATCTATAAAATTAAACCATTTTAGGTCAAACTACGGTCTTCAACACGGAGACTTGGCTCACACCGAACAGCAAGCTATAAAGTGCCCCAAAACATTACTAGTGTAAAACCATTCAAACGGGAATACCAACGGTCTAATCTATATAAAAATCGAGAAACGATAAACACTTATGAACCACATCAACAAACGAGAACTATTGAAACATCAGATTTCTGACTTAGATCAGGTACAATCAATCGCAGCGGGTTTAAACGTTTTAATGGTACCAAACCTTCACCCTTATCTGAAACAATAGTGTAACATCACAACATAGAAAGACACACTATAAAATATCAATAGAAATGGATTAACTCAATCAAAAGACGTCGTAACACAAATGAACATACACAGAACGAATAAATTTGATCTATGATACAATGTAAATACAAAATTAATAATAATAAGGGATGAATAAGTAAAAGTATTATACCGCTGTGAAATGTTAAACAATGTCAGAAAAACATCAACCTTGAAAAAAAATTCCGCCATTTGCAATAATGTTATACACAGGTAAATGAAAATAATGTTGTTGTTAGGTATACTTCTTCTGTCTGTATAACCTTCCGTTTAGGAACACCAAGAAACTTATAGATGTATATCACACATATTATTTTTATCATATAAAAAATCAAACCTGTGGAGACTTGTAAAAGACCTTTCTGCTGTGGGATTTTTGAGCTGACTTTTTGCTTTTCTGTTGACATGACAGTCTACAACATGAAATGTACTTGTTATAGATATCAAATTAGATATTTAACTAAATGTTATAACATGTCTGACTTGCTCACCTGCAATCAATGCATATTGTTGATTCAATAAATGTTCTTGTAGTTTCCATTGGTTGAAGTCAATTCTTAACATACATTACTGATAATACGAAATCTAACGATTGTTATGATCAAACAATTATGTAATTAACACGGATAAAATTTGTTTTACACGCAAATTTGTTAGATTGATGAATAATATCAAACGTTCCAACAAAATTAAACATGCCATTTCCACAAAAAAAAAAAAAACTCATTATGATGCACAAAAGCATATTATCTTTATATTTTAATATACTTTTAAACCAATGCTTTATTATTCTTTAATTGTACACAAAAAGTAAAAACACACATAGTATTAAATATTTAATTTCATATTAGTGCTTAAAATATATTATCACTCAGCATTTTAAACTCGTCTTTTACTTGTGTTCTACATTTTTACCACTTTGAACATCGACAAACCTTCATTCATAGTTGTTCAAGCAGACACACATATGGTTGAGTCCAATGAGATATCGAACAATCAAGATATACTAATCAGAGTTAACAATGCAAACAGAGTATTTGCTGGGTCTGATAAAATCATCAATTGAACCAAGTGTTGACACAACCTGTATCGACAAAATAAGGTTTTTCTAGATTTATCATTTTCATTAATATTCTGGAATAGCAACTGTAATTGTAATTGTGATGTTAACATTGTACTGTTTTAGTGATTTTGATGAATTAGACATCTTACCTAATCTCAACAACAAATGTATACCATACTCAAGCATTGGACATGTTAGAACTTGCCGTATAGTCATTTTACAGATATTTGTACATTATTGAGGACTGTATGTTGACTTTAAAATTTTCATTTTTATTTTGTTGTGTTTTAAGGTTGCTATCTACACGATCTAGTATTACTGTTGTTGTATATCTTACAGATGTTTTTGAATAGATGGATAGTTTTTTATCAATACTGTGCATACTGCTAAAGCTCAGATTGATTCCTATACTACATAGTCAGATGACAACAATATTAATTCTCTACGTTTCAAGTTGGTTTCTCTTAAAGTATTAATATGGTCTGTATACTTTTGTGATCGTTTTCTACCATTTAATAAGACAGAACATGTACCTTGAGAAAGTCCATTATTTCGTTCTTTTCTTTTCTTTTTTCACTAGAATCTTGTTCGTCTCTTTCTGCAGCCAGCTGGAAAGGAGTTTTACCCTAAAATACAATCTAACAATTTACATGTTTACCTTCACATATCATTGGGTATTCTTTTGTTTTATCACATGTCAAGTACACATAAAGCATTTATACTTATGGATATACGTTCATGGATATACTAAAAATACTACGAACTGTACTCTTCAAGAAGAATACATTTGATTATCTTGTATACAATTTTTTTGAAAACATGTGGAGTCAAATATCAAGTAAATTACATTTTTAACTCAATCCACGAAAATTCTTACCTATGGTAATACATGAATCAACAGTACTTGTTTTTGTTATTTTACTTACATTGTTTAGGATATTGATTCATTTAACTTATTTTATATCTTTCTTATGTAGATAATTGTGTGTATGAAAGTCAACATTAATTTAGTAATAGTTGTTTTAAAACTCAGCGTATTGTTAATGATTTTACTGTCACATTATGATTTGTCTAATGACATTGTACAGCAGTATGTAAACATCCTTCGCTGTGTACTATATATTTTGTTCGCAATTGGTTGTTGGTAGTTTCTGATGACTGTTAAGTGTTTGATTGGCGACTGTGTCTATTTTGGACGGATGACAGGTGGTTGTTTCTTTATCATACACGTTTAATTATTTTTAATGGCTTTTTTCTGTTAACCAGATTGTTATCATGTATTTGATTGGTAACTATAGTCATACGTCTGATGTTTTGTAGTTGTATCTTGAAACTATTTGTGTTTTATTTGTTGATGACAGTGTCTGATGATTATCGTGTGTTGACATACACAGTGAAACACAATCCTTGGCTGTTTCTTCATACTTTTGTGTTTATTATTGGAGAAATAACATGCCAATACATGGCAGAATTCTAATGCAATTCGTTTGTAACGATAATTTTCATTGGACGTTGAAAAATATGTTGAGTGTTTAGATTCCACGTTCTACCAGTCTGTAACCAAGGAAAGGGCACCATTTTTAATTCCGGGTTTTATTGGTATGTTATTTCTCAAAAACAAAAAGTCACATATTGTGCCTTAAAATCTTCATTTTGTCAATATTTTAACCATTTTGGAGCACACAAAAATATGTTTAATGTTTATGTCTAAAATCGGGAATATACCTACGACGGCACATTGTTTAGATGCCAAAGACGACCTTACTGTTCCGCTAAGTTTTCATTTATGAAGCCAAAATATTAACTAAAATAGAATGTATTTCAATATGTGGCATTGAAATGAAGATAACTGTTTTGAATTTTAAGCTGGACCTTCGTGAATCTGTCGCACACATCCATTCTGAACAGCTTAAAACCAAAATGCAGTAAAAATAATAATCAATAATGGTAATACTTGATAATGTTGCATATCTTAATTGATATTGGGGTATAAAGATAATAAAATCAAATTAGAATAGCATTAACATACATTACTGAGACCTATATTATTTTACATTAAAACTATTATGTCAAATGTTACCTTATATGTCAAAACCACGGGACTGATTCCTCCTTCTTCTATCAGCCATTTGGTAACATGGAAATGTCCATACTGAGAAGCCACATGTAGTGCAGTTCTTCCATCCTATAAAAACAAGCAATGTGACAGTAAGGGCAATGTTGTGTGATCAGTATCAACAAATACGACACTATTGTGCTACAACTGTTATTTGAAATTGTGTAATAAGTTGGGCAATACTATTTGATCGCTAGAAAAAAAAATAATCACATAAAACAGTGATATCAACACCTCAATGATGTTTAAGAAATAATTTGTTTAAGAAATGTATAAAATGATTATAACAATGGATTCAGTACGACGTCACTAATAATATATTATTATATTTGTTGTTTTTAAAATATGTTGTATATAGCATCTATATAGTTATTCTTATTTGTCTAAAAATGTGAACATAATTTGTTCTCATCAATTATCTAATAACAATTTAAATCGGATGTTTATTGATGTTAACTATAACTTTCTGTTAGACAACAGCAGTATCATTTTAGATCGTGTTTTGTCTGTTAAACATGTATGAATATAAACATACGGTGACCTATAGTTGTTAATTTCTTTGTCATTTGGTCTCTTGTGGAGAGTTGTCTCATTGGCAATCATACCACATCTTCTTTTTTTATATGATATGTGATTATCTAGCAAAAGGAGGATTAGAAATAAACTTAAGAGATAATATTTATCATTACTTTGGATTTTGTTTCTCTAACACAACCAACTGTGAACAGGTACTGGACTATATCCAGGTGTCCATTGAAAGCAGCAACCGATAATGGTGTTAATCCAGTCTGTAATATCAAAATATAACAGATATCAAACTTAATAAACTGGACAATGTTGTGTAATAAATATCCACCAAGTATATATCCCAATGACCAGTGGTCAAAACTGGAAATAATTCACAATCACCCTTGTATTTATATTTTACATAAACAACCAATTAACAACGTATTCTGTTGAGAGCTATCATACTGCCTATCATAGCTGTCATCTTAAAAAAGTATTGTTTACCAAAAAAATTATTAATTATTAGTATACATGAGACAATCTAAATACAAATATCATATAACAAGTATTTGTTTCTTTTTTTTTTAAATTGCCTCACATTTTTTTTTTAAATAATAGTGTCACACTTTAAATAAAAACACAACTTGTTTTCACCAACCTTTAATAATCAAGTTTAATCAGATATTTACCAAAAAAAAAAAAAATTAAGTAATCGTTATCCAATAAACATGTCTTATTGAGTTAAACCATTTCAATTGCTATATTATTGTGTTCATTTCTATGTTGCAATGTTACACTACTGTTTCAGGTTAGGGTGAAGGTTGGCGCCTGTAAAAACGTTTAAACCCGCTGCATTTGTTTGCACCTGTCCTAAGTCAGGAACCTATTGTTCAGTGGTTGTTGTTTGTTGATGTGGTTCATAAGTGTTTCTTGTTTCTCGTTTTTTATATAAACATACCGTTGATTTTCCTGTTTGAACTGTTCTAAACGAGTCATTTTAGGGGCCCTTTAGAGCTTGCTGTTCGGTGTAAACCAAGGCTCCGTGTTGAAGGCCGAACTAAGACCTATAATTGTTTACTTTTTACACATTGTGACTTGGATGGAGAGCTGTCTCATTGGCACTCATACCACATCCTCTTATTTTTATCTACTTATTAACAACATAATTTTGTGCTGATTTAGTATAAAAAGAATTAAGATGATATCTAGCATCATCTCTGTTCTTGCTTCTGTATCTCGTTGTGAGATAACAGAACTGTCACCGTCAAATTATATTTTTTTAAACTAATGTATTCAATATATGTATCAATTGAGACAAATCCAAATATAAATACAATACAATAAACATTTGCTGTTTTCAAAAATATTTTGACATCATATCTGTTTAAGGTAGTACCAAACCCCTTGACTAAAATTAATTTGGCTCGTTTAATTTACCTAAACGTTTGACAAAATATTTACTTTTACCCCTTTGACAAAAATATAAAAATTTCAAAAACGTTATCGAAAAAAAATCGTTGGATATATAGCAATTCGACAAATACTAATTTTGATCACTGAAAAGCTTAGTATTTCCTTAACAATAGAACGTGATTAGAACGTTCAGCTGATTTTTACAGAGTTATCTCCCTGTAGTGTTATGTACCACCTTAAATAATCATGATCATGATATCTAACTTAGAATATGAACACAACTTAATCTCATCAACTTCTTATAAAAAAGTAAAATAAAACGCTTATCCAAACAGATAGATAAAATTAGAAAACAATATACAACATGTATCATTTGATTCAGACCCATTTTGTGAAATGTCAGAACTTCCATCATAACTATCATTTGAAACATTTTTTTAGGATATGTATAGAATATTATATCAGTAGATTTCTTTCGACGAAATGAGTAATATAAGATCCCATTTGTTGTTATTCTTACAAGTTGTTGTTATTATTGTAAGACATTAATAATTAACATTATATTTGTAGAATTAATATTTGTAATATTGTAATGGTAATTAGTTTATTACAAACAGCAGACACACAAATGCTATAGCATCAACAACTTATATAGTATAGTAAGCAACACAATATAAATAAAAACAGAAGGAAAAACAAACAAAACAAAACAAAATAAATCTAAAACAAATAGTTCCTTATAATCTACTGTATTAATTGTGACCGTATTTTCGAGTTCTTATTTAACAAATAATAAAATCTTTGAATATGTTCAAATAAGTGATACACATTTTGAAAAACTAGGCCAAGAACAACAAAATATTGAGGCAAACATCTAAGATGCAAATGTCTATCTGACTAAGGAGTTAACACAACATGTTCTCGTTAACTTATAATAAACAAGATAAATCAGATTGTAAAAAAAATATTTTTGTCAGAAATAAAATTTGGTCCTTTATGATGTTTATTATTCGATATAGTTTGATAAGACAAATACAGTGATCCTTTAGATTTACTAAGAAGTATGTGTTGTCTATAAAACCTCTCTTATGATCAAACGTGAATACAATGACCAGTCACACTTGTATTTAGATTCTACGTTAACAACACATAAACAGCCTAATTTGCTGTTAGATGTCTCTGTCAAATTGTTATCCTTTCAACCTTATGTACACAATATTGAGACAAATCCAAATGTTAATACATTATAACAAGCATTTGTCAAACACAAACAAAAAATAACATCCTGTTTTTTTGTGAGATTTTAAAGGGTTAAAAAAAACTGTTTTACATTTAGCACGCTTAAATAGTAGTATCAAACTTAAAACGTAAACAAAATTGTGTCCCATCATCTTCTTATAAACAAATAAATCTGATGTTTACCAAAATATATGAAAAATTACAAAGAATTTGATTCAGACCCATGTTGTGAACTGTTAGAGCTTTCATCAGACCTGACACTGTCATACAAGTGAGAGGTTTAGCTAGCTGTGAATCCAGGTTTAATCCACCATTTTCTACATAAGAAAATGCCTGTACCAAGTCAGGAATATGACAGTTGTTATCCATTCGTATGATGTGTTTGAGCTTTTGATTTTGCAATTTGCTTAGGGACTCTCTGTTTAGAATGTTTCTCTGAGTTCGGTATTTTTCTTATTTTACTTTTTTTTTAAACAGTTTTGTAAGAAATGTATGATGTATTAATATCACTTATTAACATAAGATATGTACATGAAATATTATAAGTCTTAGCAGCTAACACAACACGTTTTCGTCAATTTCTACTTAATAAGTTAAATCAGATTTTGATAAAAGTATTGTGTTTGTCAGAAAACTAACTTGGCTCTTTATTATGTTTATTATCTGATACAGTTTGATGAGACAGGTGAAATGATCCTTTAGATATAATAAGGCGTATGTGTTGCCGATTAAACCTGTCTGATTAACAATAAGAATGTGTGGTGGTTCAGTATACAGAGGAGAAGAATCAGGCAGAGGAGGATATATCATCACCTTTTGTTCTGCTTCTCTATCACAGCCTACACTGATCAGGTATTTGACAATATCAAGATATCCGTTCTGTACAGCAAACAACAATGGTGTAAATCTATTCTGTAACATCAACATATAACAGACATTAAAACTTGTGTCATAAACTGGACAATTTTGTGTTATAAATATAAACAACATATATAATAGCACACGAATCAGCTGTCACCACCAACAACATAATAATCACACATACATCTATATTCTACATTTGCAACAAATAATTCTTTAAGATAAAGTATCCAAATACAAATACAATATAACAAGTATTCATTGATTTCAAAAATTGTTTGATATTAAATCTGTTTAAATGATAGTATCAAACTTAACACGTAAACACGACTGTTTTTAATCATCTTCTTATAATAAAATAAAATTAGATGGTTATCAAAACAAAAAATACCAGAAAACAAAATACAGCAGACATCATTTTATTCAGATCCATGTTGTTACATTAGATCTGTAGAATTGATATCACAGACTAAGGAGTTAACACACCATGCTCTTTAAGTAAGGTAAATCATATTTTAATAAAATTATATTTTGTCAGAAAACAAACATGGTCCTTTATCATGATTATTATCTTAGAAAATTTCATGAAACAAGTACAATGCGACTTAATAAATACTAAGAAGTTTGTGTTGTCCATTAAAACTGTCTGACTAACAACATGATTTTGTATAATTTCACAATGAAGAGGAGTAGGATCAAATAAAAATTATCATTACATTGTCTCTTTCATCTCTTTCACAGCTCACTGTGATCAGATATTGGACTATCATTAAGTTCCCTTCCTGGACAGCTAGAAATAATGGTGTATTTCCATCCAGTAATATCAACACAAAACAGACATCAAAACTTGCGTCATAAAGTGTTTAATGTTGTGGTAAAGATATAGAATATATAGCACACGAATCAGTGGTCAACTTTAAAACAAAAAATATTTATGGTACTTGTTTTTTTTTGTGTTATATATGAGAAATCAATTTACCCAACACTTTTCAGAATAATATATAAAGTTTGTGTATCGATTGATTCTTTAAGATGAATAACCAAGTACAAATAAAATCTAACAATAAAACAAGTATTTGTTGATTTCAAAAATTGTTTTGCATTCAATCTGTTTGAACAATATTATCTGACTTAGAATATAAACACAACTTGTTCTTTTCAACTTCTTATTAACAAATTCAATCAGATGTTAACAATAAAAAAGAATGTCATTGAACCAAAAAAAACATGTAGTATCTGATTCCGTTACATATCTTGTATATTCTACATTAATGGCAAATACCCAACAGGTTTGTTGATGGATTTGCTTCGTTAGATGGCGAAACCAACACTATCTTAGTAAATACAATTTAATTGTGAAATGTATAAACTTGTAGAACTGATCTTATCTGACCTCAAACTTTAACACAACTCGTCAACTTCTTATTAACAGGTAAAATCAAAGTTTTAAAAAATATTTTTGTTGTCAGAAAACAAAAAAAGTTATTCAGTGCAACAAGACAAATACAATGAGACCCCACTTTTTGATAATCTAACACATAGTTGTTGTTGATCACACCTGTCTGATTAACAACATGATTGTGTGGTATTTCAGAACAAAGAGGAGTAAAATCGGATCTAAATAGAAATTATACATTTGCATTTTGGCCTCACTGATCAGGTTAAGTTTTCAAATATCATCATGGAAGTTAATGTGCAATGCAATATGTTTAGATAGCAAACCATTATATATATTGCCGCCTTGAAATGTTTTTTATGAACATGAAGATTGTTTTATGTATGTTTGTTGTGGGTAGTTTCTGTTTGACAGCCTGTACATTCATATCCATACTAGACAAAGGACCAAAACTTGTTGTAATGGTTAGAAATAGTTCTTTTCGCTCAAACTTTTCCATTAAATTTGAAATACAAAAATGAGTTGAAAAGCATTTGATTTTTATTTGATCAACTGATGGATAAATGTCATCGTTTTCTGGTTCCAGAAAAGGTACAACATGTACATGTACAATATAACTCATCATGCTCATATTCTAATTCTGACCAAATCTCAGGGAAACATGTGCCATTTTCATGTCCCTTTGTGTTGCTGTTAAAAAACAATAAAGAAATATAGGACCATTTTTACTATCGGAAATCAATTCTAGCAATGTCTAGGCTATACATGAAGATACTGGTGTGATAGTGAAACATGTTAGTAGTGCATTACACAAACATGTACAGTAAGCTAAACTTGTTAGAAAGCACAACAAGAGAATTGTTTAAAATGATGAAGGTCAATTTAATTTTTTTTCCGCAATTGTGTAACGCTACAAATACCTATGGCTTCTTAGAAAGCACATACAGTGTGATTTTTGATATTAAGATTCGTCATCCATTTCTGGGGGAGGTCTTACAGGATGGCAATCTTAAAATATCTTTTTCCTTTTTATCCATTTTAATCCTACTTTAAAAGAAAATGTGAATATCCAAAAGGTAGAAACATTGCATATAAAAACATTGACACAGAAAGCTTAATATGCTATGAAAATGAATGATGCCAATGGTTCATTGGATTACTTATGCCTCTTCGTGACCAATAGTGCTGACGCGGGTCTTAATCACTATTAATCAATCAATTCATTCACAGCTCTACATTCAGTCTTGAGGAACGTGTCGCTACAAGACCAAAATATCCCATAAAGACAAGTTATTAGGAAAGACAGTTTAGAACATCTAAATCATACAACAGATACATGTATTAAAAAAAACAAATGCATAAGTACATTAAAATTGAAAAATTATAATGTTTCTGTCATGTTCCACCAGATCTTTAGTTTAATAATGAATGAACATGTAGTAAGATGATAGGTCATGGTATATATTTTCCATGTGTTCTGACGCTAAGAAAATTTTGATATTTAATTTAAATGCAATGTTCCAAATTCAAATTTAACATTTTATTATTTTTTTTTTAACTGGTTGATGATACATCAGATGACACTGACTAAGTGGAGGCGACCAGAGAAAGATATCAATTTGAAGTTGAAGTTAATCTACTGAATATGCAAAATTTATTTAGAATCTCCTAAAGGTGCATTAACATATATAGTACTTTTTTGTTAAGACGGAGTCTACACCGTGTAAGAAAAAGTATGTGGAATGATCCGAATTTAAAATCCCTGCATAATGCAAATCAAAATAAAATAAAGAACTGTGCCATGAGCCCTTTTTGCTCATCGTTAAGCTTTAAGGATGTACTCTGGTGAATTTAAAAAAATCTGGAATTTAAAATTGATACTTTATATTAAAAGTGCATTAGTTAAGAAACAAAATAAGCTAAAAATATTGATAGGTAATGGAACTCCTTTTTGAGATATTTGATTTTTAAAAAAGGACGGGAAAATCTTCCTTATATTTTGCACTGGCATTATTTGGGTCTAAATTGTAAACAAAGAAATCTATAATCTGCTGAAATTTTCTTGATGACCTTTTATGAAATGAAAAATGGGTGATATGGGGCTTAAATGATTAACCCTATACCTTAGGAATAAAACCCAAGTAGTTTGAACATCTGACAAAACTTCCTAAATTTCACATTCCTACATTTTATGTTCAACTAATAATACTGTGAGTACTGCTCAAACAGACCCCCTCCCCCCCCCCCCCCCTATACAAAAAAAAAAAAAAAAAAAAAAAATGCACACAAAACATAAAACATGAATAATTTGGAACTATTTAGCCTACCTCAACTAAGTTTGTGGCCTCTTTTTTTAAACGAATGACATTCCATAGCCGTCTAAAGTATGAAAATGGACAGTTTTCGACGATTTTTCAAAGAATAATGTTTCATAACTTCGCAATGTCATCAAAAATTTATAAAAAAGATAAATTATTTCAATAGATATAGTCAACACAGTTTCATGGGAACTGCTTTTTTCTTTAGTTATCGTCCGAAAATTGGAAAATCCCTCCTTTTTATGAATAAATTCCGAATACTCCAAAAAGTAAAATCAGAATTTGTTTTTTTTCAATTAAAAGGGAACGTACGTCAATATACATATATAGACAATTCATCAAAGTGTCATGCAAATTGGAGAACGCGTCTTTAAGCTATTGTCTAAAGTTTTGACGACGGACGGACATACGGTCGGACAAATTCAATCAGATGTTAACAATAAAAAAGATTGTCAGTAAACCAAATACAATATGTAGTATCTGATTCCGTTCCATATCATGTATATTCTACATAACCAACACCTACACAATATCAGCACTATCCTAGTAAATACAATTTTATTATAGAAATGTGTATATAGAATAAAGGACTTTTTTTATTTTAAGACAAATATTAGATATGTATTCATTGTTAAAATCAAAGGTTTCTTTCCAATTAGGCAAGTACAATAAAAAAAAACTCTGTTTATTATTGAAACAAGTATTTGGTTTTTGTTTTGTTTTTATTTATTTTGTTTTTATTTAGCCATGTTTTACATTAGATGTGCAGAACTAATATAATCTGACCTAAAACTTTAACACAACTAGTCAAAATTTGGTAAACAAGTACAACCAAATGTTTAAGAAATATTTGTGTTGTAAGAAAACAAAAAAAAAAAACAACAAAAAAAACGATTCAGTGCAAACCAGACAAGTACAATGAGACCCAACTTGTAATGATTTTACACATACCTGTTGTTTATTCAACCTATCTGATCAGCAACATTAGTTTGTGGTGATTCAGAATAAAGAGGAGTTGATTTGGACCGAGGAAGCTTCTTTACCACAGCAAGAAACGGACGATATGTAGTTATCCTTCCCGTGCATCAATAAAACATAGTGTTCTTTAAATTTGTAATATTGACATATAACAAGCATCACATTCTGTGTCTTCAACTGGACAATGTTGTGTGAAAAATATCAATGCAATATATATCACTTAAATCAGTGGTCAAAACTGAATAAGATGACCAGTCACTCGTTAGACTACAAATAAACAACATGTTTTGTTGTGAGATATGATAACTGCCATTGTATAACACATATTTTGAAAAAAAGGATTGGGCATTTTATGTAATTGTATTTTTGTTTGGATAAAGTTGTCTGATTAACACCAAGATAAAATGTTTATTTAGCATAAGAATGGAAGTCATAGTGTGAATTATTAAGGGTTCACAACTAGTAGTTAGAAATCATGAGGATTAAGTCAATGCTGTGTGAATTAATGAGGTGACATCATCAATGAAGTGTTAACATATCAGGACTCATCATTCATGATTTTTAAATTTATGGTGATTCATCATCAGTAAAGTGGTAATGTTTAGTACTCTTCATCAGTGGTGAATAAATGTGTGATTTTTATTTCTTCGGTAAAATGTGACGTTTTCAGGATTGATAATCAAAGATGTATGAAATTTTGAAAAGTGTTGATAAATTTAGTAGGATTCATCATTCAGTGGT